TTCTTTTTTCCAAAATTATTTCATGTATTCCACTAAGAAAGACTAGTGTCTCTTCCAAACCTTATGCATACATTTCTAATGACTGACAAATTATATATCCATGTCTCAAGGTACTTGAATAAATGATGACTAATTTCCTACACACTTAAATATAATATACATTTAGTAATTAACACTGTAAATACGTATTCAATTGTGTGCGCTCATAAGTAGCATGCATTTTCCACAATGGTTATGTAGTAGAGAATTGATAAGAAGTAGTGGATTCGTAAACGATAATCAACGAGCGACTTTAGTCGCAAGTTGATTATCGTTTCCGAATCCACTGCTTCTTATCAATTCTCTAGCTTAACCCATTTCTAGTAAAACGACTGTCTGTTTTACGTTTTGACAATGAATCAACGATATTTCATAAAAATAGTTTAGTATTTTGTCTTTTTTATTCTATAATAGCTGGAAATGATTATATCCACACGGTTCGCATCTATAATTAGACATTTGACAAGTTAACATAAGTTTAAGATAACTTAAATGGGGTGTTAGCTCCCCTTTTTAACACCAGATTTTAGTTTTGTATATACATATTTCATTTAATGTTTAATCATTACAAATTATTTATATTGAATAGATTTTGGTATATTTAATTTATTCAAAAAGACATATATTAATATACAGAATTTATTTATCTTATTTTGAAAAGTTACAAAATTTAATTACCAAAATTTAGAACCTTCAAAATTTATATATATAATATTTAGCAACATGTTTTGGTTAATTGAAGACTAAACACCGTTAAGCCGTTCTTAGTCAAAAAAATATTGATAAGGTAGATGCCATAAATCTGCCATTTCATAATGCTCAAATTCATGTTGCTTTCCTAAAGTGTTAAAATTACGATTGTGCTTACGATTTAAATTGAACAATTATATTCAAATCTGTGTAAACTGTTTCCGTTTCATTAAGTTACGATTATTTTAACGTTATAATTTCATTTGGAATATATCGTTCACCGGTAAATAAACTAGTTTTATCTGAGGTACGCATTCTGAATCCCCATCATAATTGCTCTTGCTACGGATGTACAATGAATAATTATCTTGATTTCATAAACTTACCATCAAGCTGTTCATAGCTGTGATCGTCTAGTCGTTGGTAACGAATGTCATAACGGTGATATTAACAGTGCAAAGTTCGAACCTTGTATCCGGAATGAAATTTTTTCATTGTAATTTTTTTATCGATAAAAATAGTTTTTAATCTTAGAGGTATTATATACTTCATTTTCATGTAAAGGCGATGATTTTGTTTCTGGTTTTACAGTCAAAGAAGTAGTTTTACGGTCGTAGCTTATATATCACACTTTACTCAAATTAGAGTCCGTTCAATGTCGACGTGATATAAATAAATTTGAAAAGAACATGAACAAATCCAGACATAGTATATATATTTTGTTAGATAACAAAAGCGAATTATCTATGAGATAGTAATACAGTTTATTGACATGTATTGACAGTTGTGCGCTTTAAGAGTGTTATTTAAATAATGATTTATGTGAGCACTCGTGGTGTAGTTGTATCATGCATAGACTGAAGACTCTTCTGATTTTGAAGAAAATACGCGCGAGTTCGAACCCTTCATATGCCACTCGTTTTTGAGAGGATAAAAAATCGTAAGTTAAAAGTTTACAGTTATAAAATAAGTTAACGAAGTAGTCAGTGGATTCTTGAAAAATAATCCACTGTAAGAACAATAGAATGACGTCAGAGAAATGGGTTAAATTATTTTAAATACAGTTGTAAGTATTTAATTTATACCTTGTACATGTCATAGAGAGCTTTTATAGTCTGTGCCGTTTGCTCAATCCGTTTTATATCTTAATAAATAAAATAATTGCGAAATAAAAATTGATGCTTTGGCTTTAACTATACCTCACGGTCAAATCATGTCTCAGTCTTACATCTCGAAAAGTTTTAAATGTAGAACAAAAACCTCACGTCAAAACGATAAGCATGTAATGATCTACCATATTTGTGTTTTTAGTTCAAAATCTGCAATCAACTCCTCATTATTGAATAATCTCTTTTTTTGCCAATATTTTGGTTTTTAGATATTATCTACAAAACAATAATAAACAAACCTTAGAAGGATGGCGATCCAGATTGTTTAGCAGATTTTTAAATATGAAGTTAGTTTACAACAAAACATAGGGACCATGTGAGAGCAAACAATTGTTGAAATGTTCACGACTGATTAATTTAGTTTAGTTGTGTTGTTTTTGTATTTCGTTTTTCGTTTTTTGTTTTTTTTTTTGTTTTTTTTTTTGTCACTCGATACTACTCTTCCCGTGGGTATGTTTAGCAAATGTATGATGTAATTCGTTCGGAGCACCCGTTATCTTTTTCCAGTTCTGACCATTAAATAGTTGAGTGACATTAACCATAACATTTAGTTTTTAATGTCTCCACCTTACATATACGGCTACATCATATATCGTTCGAAAGCATATCATCTGTACTATCTTTTTTGCTCGGTCATCAAATATTCGTACGGTGCAATTTCTGTCAAATCACGATGAAAGGTCAAGGACGGACATTTTTTTTTATTTTACAAGACGTCAGCATTTTTGCATATTCTGTCTTCTCAAACATATAATTCTGTATGGATATGTGACAAACTTTTAGAACAGAGACTATTAGTCAATTATAAAACGCACTATACAATATCAATGACGTTTTTTTAATAAATAGCGCCTTTTTCCAGAAATTCCGGTGAAAATGATAAAAAAAATAGTGAAAACAAAAATAGTTGTCTGTGTTTCAATTATTAATCACCATAAAACTAAATAACATATTTAATTTATTGCTCATTAAGGATGTTGTTGACATAGTCAAATTACTCCAATCACCCTTCTTGCTAATTACACGGCCACTCATAACAACACATACAGTTGACCAAAATACCACCATCTGCACAAAATAGCTTTTTAGCTGTTCTACGTAAAGAAATGTGTGTAGAAACACATTTAAAAATGCAAAAATGTTTGAAGGAAATAATACACGCGAAATTCAACCTTTAATGAGACTTTAATGAGCTAAACTTTGATATTTCAATAGGTAATTTGATTGTCTGCATGTTAAAAACTCTTCTGTTTTTACTTATTACTATGTTTGTAATTTCATGATTATCATTAAATGAAATAAAGATCTTTATATATAAATATCAAACTAGCCCCACACAAACTAAATATATAAATAGATCATTACATATTTAGTAAGTTGATTTATGAAAAGTTGAATTTCAAATATTTCTCTTATACCAGTTAGAAAATTTGTTTTCTTTTTTATTTCAACTGTATCCTGCATTGACAAAAGAAGTAAAACAAATTTTTTTTAGACACTGAAAATGTTCTTTGTACCTGTACAAAGTACGAAACCCTATCTAACTACGTAATTTTCTTGTAAAAAATTGACATGTTGCAGTTACATGTTGTTTTTTGGTAAATATTTCGTAATTTTTGGTCGTTTTAACCTGGTTTATTTGAGCCTCACCACTGTGTCTTTTGTAGACAAAACGCCTGGCGTACACAATTTAAGCCTGGTATCTATGATTAGTTTATTTACAACTACTGGGTCGATGCCACTGCTGGTTGGGGTTGACTGTTTACTAAACATTGCATGTTTCGAAATACTTCAGATTTTGTTCCCCCTGAAAACATAACCTTAGCTGTATTTGGCAAAACCTTTCGGAATTTTGGATCCTCAACGCTCTTCAATTTCGTGCTTTGTTTGGTCTTTTCAACTTTTTTTTATTTAAGCGTCACTGATGAGTCTTTTGTAGAAGAAACGCGCGTCTGGTGTACAGTTTTAAGCCTGATATCTATGAGGAGTTTACTTGCATCAACTTAAAGTCTATATCTTTTGATCTGAAACTTCTAGCATTATGCAATAATTATGGTCATAATAGTTTAATTATAATATATAAAATAAGTATTTAAAATGAATGATTAAAATGACTGTGTAGGTTTCACATCAACAATTCAACCAATCATCACCAACAACATTTTGTAAAAGTAGGCAACCTCTGAAAAAAACATAGCACTTTTCATATTGCTGCGTTAAGCGTTCTGCTGTGACCTGGTAGCAATATTTTGGCGACTTTCGCACTTTATTATAATACTACATGTACTACAGAAGAACGAGGTTAATTCTTTTTTTTTCCTTATTTGTCTACTTACAAAAGTCGCGTAAATAAATTGGTTGCCAAAATTAGTTGGTTTGAAGTATTGTCTTTTCCAAAACTAAATTATAAATGTTCGTTTGGTTTTCTAATGATGCAAAGATCTCATAACTGCAATAAGTGTCTGATATTAGTTGACATAAAAAAAAAAATACAAAATGGTATGTTTAAAAAATTAAAATAACACGTTATGTATAAGAACTGAAACAGTTGAAGATCTATATAACTAAAAAAGACATTAAAAAAAGCCAAATACATCTAATGCCAACTTTTCCTGAGAAGTTTGAAACCTTAGTTTCTTTATAGTTTCAAAATTTAGAAACGGACAATTTAAGAAAGATTTGTTATAAATCATGTCAGTACCGAAGTACTGACTACTGAGCTGATGATACCCTCGGGGGCTGATAGTCCACCAGCAGATTTTATTCATTTGCTACAATATTGCATTACTTTCTCAATACAGGGTAAGCCAACATATGCATCGTCGGAATAAGAATTAAAACACCTCACGTATTTATATATAAACCAATATGCACAACCTGCTATAAAAATGCTACTTTGAAGTGAGGATAGAATAGAATGCAATAGAATATAATTTATTAAAAATTGAAGGGTCAACATGAGATTATTACAATAATAAATTAAAGATCTATTGACGGGATCAAGCATTTGATTAGTAGGACTATTACAATTCTTGATAGAATGTAAAAGAGAAAAAAACTATCACGTGTATACATGTTTAACTATTGATCAATATTTGCTGGTAAAAGTCAATAACATGTATTCAATGTAGTAGACATACATATTGCAAGTCAAGATTCATATGAAATGAACGCGAATGATCATGTAAAAACATTCTCACACAATTTATAATATCATTTTCCTCATTGTATGATATATAAAGTAACATTTCCTCATCCTCATTTAACGGGTTATTTTTTACTTTACTAGATATGACAGTACAACCTAGAATTATATCTTTGTTCTATTTTGTCACATTTAATCAAAACAATTCTAATAAATAATATTAACTAACAACATTATGTAAAAATAAATAGACAAATCTAGAGCATTCATAAACGATAAGTTACATGTAGTACCTCTAAACATTATCCGCCTAATACATATTGAAAAACAGTAAAGAAAACAGTAGGCACATATAACATGCGACCAAAAATTAGATATGATACCTATTTCTTGCCAGTCTATAAATCCTGATTCCACTATAAGTGTACCATTATAACTTGTAAAATTTGGGTCAGTGCGACACTGCATGGAGAAGTCGACATCATTCTGATAAGTAATATTATAGGCTAAACTTGTACATAATATATTTACAGAATTAAATTCAGTACAATTTGAAGCTGTTATGTTCAGTGTATATATAACGCGCATGGTAGAAAAATTGTAATAGTATTTTAGGTCACTTGCAGGAAAATCCTTTGAAACACCATATATCAAAGTACAACATAAGAATAAATTCAGAACAGCTATTGGCAGTTTTTCCCTATATCTTACTTGTAAGTATGTTACATGTGTAAAATATCTAATGAGTTCTATCACAGCCCTATATAAAACAACGCTGAAAATAATTTCATATATATACTGAAATTTTTGTATGTATTGGATTAATACAAATGCACCAACTAATGTGAAAAACCCACTACCTATAAATACCAAAATTATAAAACATCGCCAATTGAGATCTGAATACCTCATGTCATACGATATAAATGATAATGACCAAAACACTATAGTTGTGAGTAACACGTATTGGCTTCTCGTCACCTGTTCCAAGGTTATATTACCAGAGTCTGCGACGTCCCCGACGCAATAAAACTCATTTTGACTTTCCTTACTAAATATTACGGGATTTATTAACATATAAGTAAAAGCAATTAAGAACGTTACTAAGGCAAATAACATATGAGTGTTCTGAACTAATTGTCTATGTTTTGCACTATTGTTTATGTTTTTGTCTTCACCAAAAAAGTTATCAACTAACTCAAATGCTGATAAGGCCCTGTCATTTAATAAATAAGGATTAGCCCCATTATCTAGCAATATTTCTATACAATCACTCTTTTCCTGTCTTGAACGATGCCTCTCTATAACAGAATGTAAGGGTGTATTGCCCTCTTTGTCTGGCACGTTAACAAAGTCACGCAAAACAACTCTGAAAGTAGTTTGTAGAGAAATATTCAAACAAGTGGTCATGAAAGCTGATAGACATGTTTTTGTATACTGTCTTTTCACATCTGCATTTCGATAATTTTCCAAACACTGGTTCTGAGAGCTTTGAGCGAGTAATAATTTTGTAACAGTTTCACCTGTTGTGTAATGTAGAGGGGTTCTATAGAAATCATCACGAATCGTTACTTTAGCTTTATTATGAAGCAGAAGAGATAATATCTCGATATTATTGTTTATAACGGCTAGATGAACAGCAGTGAGTCCATTATTGTCACCTATGTTTACTCTAGGTGTAGGCTTTCTAGTCAAAAGTTCTCTATATTTGACTTGCTTGAAGTCAAAATATGAATCATCATTTTCGGGCAATTCTTCATTAAATAAAACCTTAACTGCTTCTACGTTATTTAATAATACAGCGTAATGTAGGACTGTCAATCCGTTCTTTGTTTTAGAATCAATATTTTCTGATCGAATATTTGATCTTAATTTTCCCAAGTCATTGTGGTGGACTGCTTCATGAATCTCTGTCTTGTTTAAATCATATTCAAGAATCAAATAAGTTATCTGTTGCTTGTTTGGAGTGACAGCAATTGGGATTTTCATTGGAACATGTGGAAACAATCCTCGTAGTCTTATCAGTGCTCCATTACTCAACAGTAAACGTACCATATCATAGCGTCCTGCCTTAACCGCTATATATAAAGGTGTCTCCCAAAATTCGGAAAAACAGTTTATATCTACATCATGATCAATTAATTCTGTAACAATATCTAAGCTACCTCCAAGTACAGCTAGAGGAAAGAAGGACTTACTTGAGGGTAGGATTTTGAAACTACCTAAAATCAATTTACGCTCAAAAGTTGACATCTTATTCCATGAATACCGAAAAAACTCATAGCAACCAAATGCCACTATCCAGTCAATGAGTGTACTCTTGTTTCCTCGGGCGATTATAACTCGACTAATGGCATCTTTATTTTCATTGAATTCATCATTGGATAAAATCTTTAAAGATTTTTTAAAGACTGAATCATTACTGATTTGTCCCTGCTCGGAACTAACCTTTTTCAAGAAAGTATGTATGCTCTGATCAAAAGTGATTCCAAATATTCGGATGAAATTTCTGTTCGAAAAAAGATGACTCATTAATAAGCTGGAAAATCTCCCATTTTTTAATTCAATCCACAATCTATTATACAACGGTCTAAGACGATCTTCATTCAATTCATCTTCCCGAATACTAACAATATTTTCATTAATATTCTCATCCGTGTTTTCATTAGAAATCACTCTGACTCGATCTCTAATAAAAACGATATCACAGTCAGAGAACATTACTTTCGGATCAAACGTATAGAAATGACAGCCGATAGTCTCTTCAAGAGCATCGTGAATAAACCTAAAATTGTCACTGTCCTTAGTGAAATATGATCCTATAGCAGAAAGAGCCCCATCCTCAATTTCTTTTTTAGACATGTTTCTTTGAAGTCCGCAAGTTTGCATTATTCTATATATTTTCTCATCGCATTTGTCTGAGTCCAAGTCAAATATACGTCTACTAAATGAACCATTAAACAACATACATAGCACCAAAATGCAATATATCGTCTTATTTTCAATGCTCATTTTATCAAGTTCCTCCTTCAACACTGAAAAAGGCTGTCTAAAGAATGCAATTCTTTTTCTGAATCTTTCTTCATTATTTGAAATTAATTTGCAAAGGAGAGGGAATGCATAATTTGTTTCACACATTATTTCAATCTCTTCTGTTGTAATTTTATTTTCTAGATTACTTCTACTAAGGTGTTTGATTAATATTTTCTGCTTTTCATCTTTTGAAAGAGCATTAGACTGGTGTTCTAAATTAATGACTTCTTTGTTTAAAATTGTAGATGCATTTTTAAATCTTTTTTGGAGTGCTATTTGTAATCTCAATGTACACAATATTTTGTTTGAACCTAAGTCTGTTTCCAAGCAGTTTAATAGCTTTCCGTTTAAACTTTCCCATTTTTCCAACAGGGTCGGACTTAAATGGCATTTACCAAGGACATCATCAATAAGAAACACTTGTTTTTTATTTGTTTTGTATATAATTATATCCTCTGGCGACTCAATGGGAACAATTTCGAATCCTTCCAGTTTAAATTTAAATGCGATATGTCGAATAATGGCGGTTTTTCCAAATCCAGAACTTGCTGTTACCAAAATACAACAACAAGATTTTATTTTATCATAAACAAGTTCTGACCCCCTTGTTTCATAAAAACTTTCATCATCTTGTAGCCATGTTTCAACCAAAGTATCATTCGCTTCTGCAAAGGTTCATATGTATAGTTAGTAAAACTAGTATTGATATATTGAGCAGAAACTCCATATAAGTTCCTATCATCTTGATCGGGTTGAAATTCCAAATGATTTCATACGGAGACATACTATAGTAATGAATGTAGATCTTTAACTTGTTTTTTTTTTCACATGATCTAAGGGCAAATTTACAAATAATGTACGGCTGCAATGAATTAATTCAATTCTCATAGGACAAATACAGTAATGTTGTCAACCGTGGAAGCCCTAAACACACGATACCGTTTTGGCTGTTCCGGTTTACCCGAACAAATAATATTATTAAAATTACTATTTCATTCAATAATAAATTAAAAAAAACTCACATTTTTCACCTAAAATGTTCTTCTTATCCAAATTTAATACATTCTGAGGCCCACAAGAGGACTGAATACGGCCGGTGTTTACATTTGACGCCGGAAGCATACATATGACGTCACCTTGTTTAGTTGCTAAAGACGATAACATAATTTACACCAAAATGATAACTGAAATGGACTGATTTGTTTATTTTGCATTAGAATAGAGATAACCGTATTGTATTTAAAGCTTGGCCTACCTGAAACCTGGGTTTTTACTGTCACAAACTGAGTTTACCTGGTCGTATAAATAAGGTAGGCGTAACGCGGAACAGCCCATTTGTGTATTAGTGCGTTTGCGCTAAAAGTAGATATACTGGTTGACGAGATATAGGCCGTCATATTAGAATTTCTGGATTACAAATGGAAATAAATCAAACTCGTCCGGTGAATTGTAAAGTTATGCTTAAAAGATTTTTAAAAATATATTGCCAAAGCTCTTATTAAAATAACAAATTAACATGAAGAAACATGTTGGTATCGTCCGTATCATTGAGTAAACTAATGTGAAATGACAAACATAAAATGCGTTGAACTGCGTACTTTAAATTGGTTCTTTTGATAAAATTGAAACAAACCTGCAATATTTTTCGGAATATTTCCTTCCCTGTAATACGAGAAATCAATCTCTATCTGCTTTATTTCCATTTCACAATCAATGCATTCTTTTTTCAATTTCTTCAGTTCTGTGTTTGACAATGTTTTAGCCTGTTCTCCATCAAGATCGTAATTTAAGATTTCAGTGACCTCATATGGTCTTTGACCTTTATTTAAAGATGTCAATGCCTTAAGGATAGTGTACAAATAGCTAATAAAACAATATCTAAACGACCATTACTTATTTTAACAATTTATCAAATAGATTCAGTCGTTGTAATTGGAAAAGTCATTGGGCATAAATTACCGATTCTTCTTTATGATTTCATGTTTATAATGAAAATCTTCCATCTTTCAATATTGAATGTCATTTTTAAATCTGTTGTCAAGTTTCTTATCGTACCAAAATATAATTGCATCTCACAAAAGATTAAATCGTAATAAAACTTTCGTCTACATTAGACTCATCAGTGGACCTCTAATTGAAAAAGGTCAAAGGCAAAATCAAAAACAAAGTGGAACGTGTTGACGAGCATTACAAACCAAATATTCAAAAAAGTTGTGCAAAATACGGCCAAAGCAACCCTTGCCTTGGATATAACCTTTAAAAACATTACTATCTTTCATACAATATTGAATAAAATTTGACAAATGATAAGAATAATTTATATATGACTACATCTGCTAATAATCATGTGTACCTGTGTTTAAAATATGCCATTAAGTAGTTAAATTATATCGAATCATATAATTGTTTCTTATGAGGAGGTTCTAAGTGCATTGTATGTTAGTTGTTTTCTCATAGTACAAGGTTAACATCATCATAGATATCGCCAGCTTAAAATGTTATTATAGTCCGTTGTCCTCAGGTTTAAAAATTGTACTTCTCTCGGCGATTCCCATAGTTCAGAGTCTGTGTAAAGATTATAACATCCTTCATTTTTTTGAGAACATGACTTAAATTTTGAATCACTGGTACATGAACATGATGAATATAAAGCCGATGTTTTATGATCTCTGCCCTGCGGACATGTAAAAAATACCCCTTCGTCACGATCCAAACTGTGATGGATTGGAATTTGTTCTACATCAAAGTGGAAAAAATAAGTCTGTACATTTTTCTGGCTATATCCTCTACTCATTTATAATTGGAATGTTAATGAGTAAATTGATTTTCACGAATGTTTTTAATTTTTCCTATAAAATTTTAAGCTTCTTGGTTTTTTCATATGAAATGCACAGAAAAGTTTGCACGATGATCCCAGTATGTGTTTTAAGTTTTTATGTTTAATCAACTATATTTTTTTGGGGTTTTTTCATATTGGTAGTGGTCAGGTCAACTTAAACTTAAACGAGTGAACAAATATATTTTTATGCTTATTTTGAATTATTTTTTTTCAATAAATCTAAGTATGAAAATTACCTTATTTAATCATTATTTTTTAATTACAACAGATCGATACTGTCTAACTGCCCAATTATAACTTGGAACTACGACGATGCTGCAAGAATGAAGAATGAAATTCATTGCATCGCCTTGTGTAAGCCATTCTTGCATTCTAATACTGGATTTGTTTTAAAAAATCATGTCTGAATTACAAAGACGAATATCTGAACAAAATGAAGACATGTGCTTTGGTTGTTATAACGAACCTTTTCAACAAGTTTCCATTTATCTGTGAATTCATTTTTATCCATAGAAGTAACAGTCGTATGGGCGAACTGATTTCTGAACCACTTCAGTGTAGCTAGGTCTGCTCCTGGTAACGTATCATTCGGATGCGGAAGTTGGTCCCATCCATTGGATGGCTTTGATAAACCTCCTAGATTTCTTAGCAGACATATCAACATTGTCAGGTCAAAATCTTTGGAAGAGGTTGCTACAAAAACAATGAAGTGTGGAATAATAATAATCAATTAACTTTACTCTTATTGACAGTTATGGAAAATTTGTTTTAGAGATGACAACGGAAATGTCCAAAGTGTCTTCACCACAATCACGACCACTTCATCACGAATGTGAACTACCGTATAAGACTCATCACCGGGTTTGTAATTACATGAGCAACACGACGAGTGACTCATGTGGAAAAGGCTCTGCCTACCCATCCGGAGCACTATAGTTCATCCTCAGTTTTTGGTGGGGCTCGTGTTGCTCAGTACTTTGTACACTGTTTGTCTTTATCTTTTTGTCCTTTTTTTTTTTTTTTGCCATATCATTGTCAGTTCGAGTGTGACTATCCATTTGGAATCTTCTTTTACTTTAGGAGATTTTTTTTTCGTCCTTTAGAAACAAATTAATTCAATTCGTTTGATGATGGATATCTTTCAAAATTGCACAAACTATGCAGTGGGTGTTTGTTTTTATCCTTTCCATTTGGTCTATGGTGGATACAGGAAGTTTTCTCGTCGGTAATCTTACCATTTCTCTGTATTCAAGTATTTAACCATGAGTAGATCATGATCATTACATGTCAATTGTCTACGCAGATAAGTTCCGATTCGTTATCATGGAACAATAACACAAGATTGTAATTGTAAAAGACCAATATATGATTAACCCTTTCCATGCCAAAGCAACATATATGTCGTGTGAGTGTTAATGCCAAAGCGACATCTGTGTTGTTTAGGGGCTTAATGCCAAGTCAACGTATGTGTTGTTTCTTCAATTGCAATAAGTAAGCATTATAAATCAAAACATTGCAACGTATAATACACTAAATATTTTAAATCATTATCTTGACCATCGCTCATCTAAGTTTATTTGGAAGTAATGACGTGATATCCATGACGTTATTGTGACGTTGATACCTAAACTACATAAGTGTCCTTACAAACAACGTTATTCCAAGTGCTCCACAAAACCTCTCTCTAAATTATTAACATCAATTTTATCAGCGATCAAAGATGGGCTTTAAAGTAATTGTGAAACTACCTATTCTAGAGGTGGCGTGAATCAAATGTGGATACTAAAAAAATTCCAAAGATCTTTTAGAGTACATACAATCTAAGACTCTTTCATCTTGCAATAGTATTAAAATATTTGACTTTTCTACACTTTACACAAGTATTCCCCATTCCAAACTAAAAGATAAATTGAAAGAGTTGGTTCTGCTTTGTTTCATAAAATATAATGGCCAACTTAGATACAAGTATCTTATCTTAGGGAGGGATAAATCCTACTATGTACAAAATCACTCTGATTCAAACAAAAATATTCTCTGAATCTGACATTATCAAGATGCTTGATTTCTTGATTGACAACATATTTGTTACCTTTGGGGGACGTGTTTTTCATCAAACAATCGGCATTCCCTTGGGAACCAACTGTGCCCTTCTTCTTTCCAACTTGTTCCTTTCATTCATATGCGGCTTACTTTATACAGGAACTTCTTAGGAATAAAGTAAAGAAGTAAGCAGTATCCTTTAACTTTACGTTCCGCTATATAGATAACGTTCTCTCACTGAACAATTCAAAATTTGGTGACTATGTTGAACGCATCTATCCCATCGAACTTGAGATAAAGGATACAACAGATACAGTTAAATCTGCCTCATATCTTGACTTACATCTGGAAATTGCCAACGAGGGTCGGTTAAAAACAAAACTTTACGACAAAAGAGACGATTTCAGCTTTCCAACTGTGAACTTTTTATTTCTATGTAGCAACATTCCAGCAGCGCCTGTATACGGAGTATAAATTTCCAAGTTGATACGATATTTCAGGGCTTGTATTCCCTGTCGTGATTGCCTTTATAAAGAGTTGCTGCTCACAAGGAAGCTAATAAACCAAGAGTGGTGAAGTTGAAGTCATCTATTCGTACATTTTAAGGACGCAATCACGAGTTGGTTGACCGTTATGGAATATCCGTTTCACAGATGATAGCGGATATGTTCCAAATGCCTGCAACCCCCTCCCCTTAGCCCCAAATGTGACCTAAGAATTAGACTGATTACCGGGTTTGTACGCACATGAGCACCACGACGTGTGCCATATGTGGAGCAGGATCTGCTTACCCTTCCGGATCACCTGAGATCAAACCCACTTTTTGGTGGGGTTCGTGTTGCTCAGTCTTAAGTTTTCTATGTTCTACTTTGTGTACTATTGTGTGTTTGTTGGTCGTTTTCGTTTTAGTCATAACGTTGTCAGTTTATGTTCGACTTATGAGTTTGAGTGTCCCTTTGGTATCTTTCGTCTCTCTTTTAATTATAGCTCAAATAAAATTAATTTTCTGTCTTCAAAAGAATCCACCAGAACGACAAACGACAACACTGATTTTTATATTTGCATGCACGCAAATGACACTGGTGCAGAAGATTCAAACACTGATATTTAAAAACAGGTAACACAAGATGATTTAACAAGACCGGGTCTTCGATGTTTGCATTGTAACTTATCAGACTTACTTCATATAAAACGCTTTATTGATTGCATTTTCGACATATTCGTAAGACTGCTTTAGAAATTTCCGCACGTTACTTATGTTCGAATAGTAATTTTGTATGCGTTTAACCTCTCGGACCAAAATAGACATTTCGATCCATCACGACAGAATCACAAGAGGACACAAATGTCCAGTTAACAAAGAAACATGGTAAATATCAAACGAAAGTATAAAATAAACACTCATTTTAAACATTAAACTCAACATAAATTCTCTAACATCGTTGATAACATACGCCCTGACAATGCTTGCAACCAGCCGACATTTTCTAATCTGAGATTTGTTCCAAATATGCAAATGGTGTTTGATTGAAAATGACAAATTAATCTTTTTTTTTGTATAAAACAAATCATATTCATGATAGTTTTCAAAAGCGAAATTTGACCGTGTCTTATACTACTTATGTTTTGACGTGTTCTTTTGTATTGTTCGCTGAGGTCCTGTCATGAAGGAAGGAGGGTATAACTGCATATCTTACATACATATTTCCTTGTTCCGTTGTTGGAGGGCACCCACCGTCAAATAGGCAATATTCATTAACTTTTAGCATCAGCTTAATTAGATTTTTTATACACCCTTTACAGATCTTTTTTTTTTTTCACTTACATAAAAACTATTCAGTATTTTTATCCATGCATGCAACATCTGTTTTAAAGGCATCAGTGGTTTGTATTTGAAGTCTTCTTTTCCCGGAGTAAATAGAAGTAATTCTAGTGATCTGATTTTTTCTAAACATTTATCACAGTATAAAATAAACTAAGTTATAAATAATGAACTTACAAAAAAAAAATTTTAAAAAGTAGGGTATTGGTACTAAGATTACAAAAACCTATGTGAGCACACTCATATACCCCACGCCCCTACATTGTCACTGGGCAAACAAAATCTCACCAGATGCCTTAATTCAAAACTCACAACTCCTAAAAACTCTACTGATAAAATTTCTTGTGGATATGCACATCTACATATTATGTCCTCATTAACTACAGAGTTTCATGAAATTCTGTTGTGTGATTTCAGAGGAATAGCGATGACAAAGTGTTACAGTAGAATATATAGGCAAAAGTTCAAAGAAACACAACTCCTAGAAAAAAGTTGAATTATAATTTCCTGTCGATTTGCACTTCTACATAGTATATCCTTATTATCTACAAAGTTTCATGAAATTCTGTTGTGTAGTTTCAGAGGAGTTGCGATGACAAGAACAGGACTGACGGGCTGGTGGACAGAAGGACGGACTGACCGACGGACGGACGGTTGAACAAAAACATTATACCCCCACGCAAAGAAGTTGCGTGTTGCATAATTCTTCCAGATCATAACTACGGGCTAAAAAAATTATTTCACTCTGTTTATAGCATTTGTTTTGTTTTGAATTTGATTTTCTACAGAAACAGACATAAAAGGAAACTTTGGATTTTCAAAACCAATCTCCAAGTTAAAAAAAAACAAGGTGCCGATTATAGGCCTTCACAATGGGACAGCAATCAAAAGACACAATAAGATAAAAAAAAGGACATAAAGATTTCAAACAAGAAAAGGCAAGCATCTATATAAAATTTCATATAGTTATAGTAGTCCCGAGTAAAGACGATTGATAATAAATTTATACCAGACTACTGAAACTATCCCTTAACATTAAATGCAAGAAGAGATAAAAAAAAAAATCACGTTTTAAAATACTACTGCTCACTTGGTTTATGTACTGAAATAGCACAGTAAAATGTTGCTGGGATAAAATATTCCTGACAATACTCGCCTCCCCCCTTTTTTATCGCTCATTGTTATATCAAAACGTTACTGAGAAGAGCACAAGTTTTTGCACCTGGAATTATTAAACGATTATAACTGACCCGTAATTATCCATTTAAAAGAAATAAGGCATAAAACCCTTTTGTACAGTGGCGAGAAGTATTCGTATTCTGACTTTTTAAATGCCCTTTTATTTTTTTCTTAATGAAATTATGAGGCAAAGTGGTATATAGGGTAGAAAAATCAAAACTTTGAACAGATTCGAAATCACCAATATGAGCATACAATTTATCAAGTACTTTCAACGAATTTTTGACACTCCAAAAGTAATTTATTCCACTATTTTCAAAGTCCTTATTTGAACAATTTATTATCAGGTTTTTGACTGTACCAAGTGTACCAGTACGTAGAATAGACAGTTTAGAAGAGATTCAATGGCTTATAGACGAATTAAATGTATATTTGTAAGGTGTTTTGTGCAGCTTCGGAAGCCAGTACATAGTTGGAATTGTATTTGGTTCTGCTTGTAAAAAATAGCTAAAAGTTTTTGTTCGTTACAAAATTAATGTCATTTTCCGAAAATAGAGTCAGTTGAATGTTGGTGTTTACGTGATTACCTTTAGCAGGAACTCATTGTAAAATGTACATTTAACAAAAATGTCAGGACAAAAACAAATTCCTTAGCAAGTTCGTTTAGCTTATGTTTGATACGAGAAATAGGGTTATTATGGTTGTTGTTAGGAGTAAAATGTTCTTTAAAATGTTTCATACGATTATCGACACTGTTCATTACTGAATTAAAAAAAGAATCTAAGGATTTTTTGTCAGCTTTTTCTCGTTTTATCCGTTTAGTGCAGTAAGTACGGAGTTAGTCATGGATGATGTTACGACACTCATTCCAATTAATAATTGACGGGGGACGATATTTAGGTCCTTTACTGAAGAATGATTTCAACTCTCGGTCATGGATGATGTTAAGGTCTCCTGTTATAACATGGGAACTGGGGCCATAAATGTATTCGGAATTACTGCAATTTCATGACGTAGATGTATTGTCACTAATGATAACATCTTTACAAACTTCGCTATAATTAAACACATATTTCCGCGTACAGTTTTTGTTAACATAAGAAATACGAGGGAGCGCAGTATTATCAAAATAGCCAGGAATTTGTTCTTTAACGGAATGATCATTAAAAATAACGGCAATATTTACTAAATCAAAACCTTTATTGACATATTTGATTTTGATAAAATGTTTTTTATGATTTCAGGGCAATCAATTTTGGGAAACAGTTTAGAATAACAATATGCAATTATAATTTGGACTATTTCATACTTAGGACTGCAATATGGAATTGTGTTGCAATCTTCTAAAATTTGATGTAATTTATTAACAGGTAAAGAACAGAGCTTGGTTAACAGATAATATTTGCCGTTGTTTTTTGAAAAATAATTAGGTCCGAAATATTTGTATTGTTGGTACGAAATTTTCTCTGATTGCGATTTATTCTACGCCCATGAGAACGATTTTAACGAACAGTTTTAGAAACTTTATCCAAAAATGTAACTGAATCAGTTCTTGATATATTACTAATTCCCATGATATTATCATTAAGACCTAAAGGATAGACTGTCTGTCTTTTTTTAATCTAATTTAATTCAATTATTTTCCGTGATCGTACAAACTTTGAATGAGATTCCCCAGGCTGCTTATTTACTAGCAGAAGAAGTATATTTAATTACACTGATATTAGGAGTAATAATACATTGATTGATTGTTGTTTATTTTACGTTCAGTGTCAAATACTTCATGCATGCTCATGATGATAACAAATTAACAATGAATACAACAGGAAGGTCTTTAGTCGAAATGAATGTCCAGAAATTTGAAATGCCACTAAAAATGAAGGTATATTAGATAGAAAAATAGAAATTTAGCCAATTCCCATGATATTATCATTAAAACCGAAAGGATAAACTGTCTGTAATTTTTTAATCCAATCTCATTCAATTATTTTACGTGATCGTACACACTTTGAATGAGATTCCGCAGGCTGCTTATTTACTACTTCTAAAGACTAAACTGTTAAACATGTAATAGGATGATTGTGCTTCTTAAGGTGTTGGTAAATGGTACTTTTAAATCTATGGGGTCTTCTAAAATGATAAAGTTGTTCTTGTGTGCGTTTAGATAAAAAGCGCCCGGTTTCACCTACGTACTAGATACCGCATCCCGGTTTGTTTCATGTGAGTAAATAGATAATACTGTTAGTTTTTCAATTTATATCAGTTTCAAAATTTAAGGAAAAAGGCGACCATTAAATGTGGACCTTATCGCATTGTTGGTAGAGAGAAGCGGGCATGTAAGTCATTGTTTGGCATGACACTTATCGATAGAATGGTAACCCCGATTTTTATTTTTTTAAATGTTAGCGTTTGTTTTATTTTTAGATAAGCGATTTTGAAGATTGAGACGTGTAGATACCCTTTGAACGAGTATGGTAATTAGAATTTCTGAGTTTCATTTTGTTGTCCGTATTTCCATTTTAAAGAAGCAAAGAATGGCGTCCAGAATATGAACCAGCACACAGGAATTGAATAGAGTAAAAAGATAAAGATGTTTGGCTAATGACGTCAAACGCTATGCGTCATCAAGTACCAGACAAAATACGTGAACTACAAAACCAGAGGACAAAAGCAAAAGAAAGGGTATATCAGGGTAGCTCCGGACGTCTGACTAAATAGTAAAATGAAGCTGAATAGTGAAATATGAGTTTAAGATAAATATTCCTACAGTAATGAACGTAGAGAAGTTCTCGCTCGGACACACACTCCATTATCTTGTATATTATACGAGCATAAACCTGAAGCTTTTCAATATCGTCCTTGGAACCATTAAATCCAATGCATGTGTATTGCGCATGAGAAGATCCCAGTGAAGGTTACGAATTCAAAGTAGTTTTGGCTACATGGTCTATCGAAGTGTAAACAAAGGGGAAAAGGACCAATCCGATTTGAGTATTTGCAGATATAAGAATAATTAGTCTATAAACTCTATTATAAATATTTACCTGTTGTTCCCAAAGGCATCGCAGGACGATGGGGTGACCATTTCGTTCCTGGGATACCCCTTAATATGTCTAATTGGACTGCATTGATTCTTTTTCGATTGTATAAATTGATAATGGCAGGCACACTATTGTTGATAGTTTTAGCTAAGCTTGTGGGCGGAAATACTCCGTCGAAGAATCGCCTGGCGATTTCAGGTGATACTTTAAAATTGAGGAAGAAAAATCTAGTGAAGTTTTTTTCTTCTTCTTTAAGTTTTGGCATCGAAGTCATGTTTAGACTTAAAAGCCTCTGTGGAACAACCTTTATCCACAGTATTTAACATTAAACCCCGTTTTCAATTTTTGCCGGCATTATTTACCTGAAAGAAATATAAACATTTAGTTTTGTTTAATGAATAAAAGCCTAAATAGTTTTTTATGACTTAATTTTGGCTTCCTTCCTTTAGCTTCAGATATGTTATTTCTTCTGTTTAATTGTTCAAATAGTGACAAGAGAGAACTATGGAAACTGGCTGACACTGCTTTTGATTTCATCGAGTTGTTGTTAGTCCTCTTTTACGTTATTCAGAAAAGACTGCGTTTCAGTAGAAATGAAATACCGTTAATGCACAGTCAGTCTTTTATGCAAAAATGCTTAAACATCAATAAATGACAACCTAAATAATTTCAGTGTTTTTGTGTCCAGAATAGCATCATATTTGTAATACCTAAAGTTTACCATCAACTTTGGGATAAAATCATCGTTTTGTAATTTAAAAAAATAAATGAAAAGAGAGATTTTTTTATATATATGCCATTAATGGAGAGAAATTTGTTATGATTGTATCAGGAAACTGATAAATGACCAGAAATTGGGGTGTTTTTTTTTTGGCAAAAATGAAGATGTTTATCATAAAATCTACGAAAACAGGAAACCGGAAAATTTGTCGAATGTAAATCTATTTGAAACATCAAAAGTATAATTGGAAAAGGAAAAGATTAGTATCTCCGAAAACACGAAACTGGTATTAGGTCAAGTATGATAATAATTAAATTGAAGATCTTTTGTCAACATTACACAAACTATGTACTGCATGTGTTGAAATATCTAAAATCTATAATGGCAAAAATATTTCTGATATCTCAGTCAAACGTTTTCTTTTAAAACACATAATCATTCCAAACTGGCCAATAATGTAAGATGTCTCTATCAAAACAATTTCGCAGATTATTTGTTTAGCATTATATCCGTTTTTGTCGAGCCTTCGACTTTAGTCGAAAAAGCGAGACATAGCGATCCTACATTCCGTCGGCGTCGTCGTCGTCGTCGTCGTCGTTGTCGTCGGCGGCGTCCACAAATATTCACTCTGTGGTCAAAGTTTTTGAAATTTTAATAACTTTCTTAAACTATCCTGGATTTCTACCAAACTTGGACAGAAGTTTGTTTATGATCATAAGATAGTATCCAGAAGTAAATTTTGTAAAAATAAAATTCCATTTTTTCCGTATTTTACTTATAAATGGACTTAGTTTTTCTGCCGGGAAATATTACATTCACTCTGTGGTTAAAGTTTTTAAAATTTTAATAACTTTCTTAAACTATCCTGGGTTTCTACCAAACTTGGACAGAAGCTTGTATATGATCATAAGATAGTATCTAGAAGGTAATTTTGTAAAATAATAAATCCATTTTTTCCGTATTTTACTTTTAAATGGACTTAGATTTTCTGCCAGGAAACAACACATTCACTCTGTGGTTAAAGTTTTTAAAATTTTAATAACTTTCTTATACTATTTTGGATTTGTACCAAACTTGGACAGAAGCTTGTTTATGATCAAAAGCTAGTATCTAGAAGGAAATTTTGTAAAAAAATAAATCCATTTTTTCCGTATTTTACTTTTAAATGGACTTAGATTTTCTGTCAGGAAACAACACATTCACTCTGTGGTTAAAGTTTTTAAAATTTTAATAACTTTCTTATACTATTTTGGATTTGTACCAAACTTTAACAGAAGCTTGTTTATGATCAAATGCTAGTATCTAGAAGGAAATTTTGTTTTCTTCCAGTTAACATTACATTCAGTCTGCAGTTAAAGTTTTAAACATTTATTAGATTCATAAACTATCCCGGATTTTTACTAAACTTGGACAGAAGCTTCTTACAATCAAAAGATAGTATCAAGAGGAATATTTTTATTGATTTACTTCCTCATTTTTGTTGAGCCTGCGATTAACAGAAAAAGTAGGCGAGACACTGGGTTCCGCGGAACCCTTACGAATTTTTTTTTTAAATAATATACAATAATTCAACATAGCGTACAAGCTGGTTTTTTTTACATAACGTGGACAATATGTGAAACATGAACACTTGCAGAGAATTTTACGTATTACCTATTCACAAACCCAAACTGATTTCATCTTTATTATACATCAGACAGAAAATAATATATAGAAAATAATACACCTTCAAGATGAGACTGAAATATCAACGTTCAAATATGATGATCCCTCTGCCAAGTTATTACAGGAGACATCAACATCAGTTAAGTCTGAAAGGTTATAAACTTTCTATGATAAAGGATTAAATTATATTGCACCATTGAAAATTAAATGGAAAGAGTATCGCACTGAATATTTCAATATGTATTTTTTTTCTTTTATAAATAAAATTGTTTTACCTGATGTTGTAAAAGATGGTGTAAATTGAGAAATCTGATAAGAAATTACTTGATTTGATATGAATACTATTGATATTCGTATATCACGTTATAATTTATTTAGGCATCAATATACACGTTCAGTTCGAGGATTACACATGAACTTAAAGTCATCCGAAAGCGTATTGTATGACTACCAGCCGACAAAGTAGCCAACAATGGTAGTAGCATGCTTTAACTCTTCCCTTAAATCTTGATTTGCATCAGATATTTGCTTTTCGGAAATAAAATGTATCTACATATTAAAAGTATTCATATGGGCTCAAATTCAATTCCTTTAAAAACCCAATAAATAATTGTCTCCATTAATTTAAAAAAAGAGAAAAAATAATAACACAAGCCTTCACCTTGATGGTATTTTGGTTTTAGATAACAAATAAAAAATGAAAACAACACGTTAAATAATTTCATGCGTCCGAAGCGCTTTTCTGGATTTACCTTCATCAGGAACGCTCAAAACTAAATATTTGAAATAACTCTAATAATAATGCACAAATATACCCCTAGGGAACTGACTTTAAACGAACATAATATGAAGAGCAGTACTTGTTTTTTTCTTCAGTTGGAGATTTACGTTTTACACTGGAAACTATAAACTGATTTTGACAAAAGTAACATTTCTTATTCAAATTATCACTTTTCCTTTGTCTTGGCTGGGGCGTGTATTTTGGCACTTTCTAACGCTGTGTTTATTACCCAAAGCATTCTATGCCACTCGGAGTTTTGAACTCAATGTCCTGGTATGAATTGATGAAAAGTAAAGTTCCAAAAACAGGATGCAAATGAATATACCGTTCCGCACAATGCAGGAAATAGTTAAGTACAATACAATTTTTATTTTCCTGTTACTGGTGACAAAATGGTGGTCAAGTGCAATATTGATGATGTTTATTTTTAACGTTCGGAAGTTATATTCCTTGATAAATAGGAAAATAGGCATACAATGTAGCAGGTCAAATAAGCCTGTCAAAACACAGGAACTCAATTAGACAGCTCATTCCGTGTATTTATTTTACTTGTCCGACAATTACAATGCCTAATTGGTAAATTGTAATTTTGATAAACCGGGGACCTAATAGCATATTATTGTTCAGGATAAACGAATAATTACGTTGGTACCATTAGCATAAGTTATCATCAATTGTGTTCATATATACAAGAACTTTACTTAATGGATTATTATTGTCAATTCTTAATGTAATAAAAAAAATTAAGGCGTGATTGTGATTTGAAATTATTCTATAAATTTAAAATTATAGAAGAGGTTTTCCGTAGCCGTTCCATGTTAAAACAAGTATAACATGTATAAATAGAAAAAAGTGATAAGTATAAAGTTGTTCTCAAGTGATATTGGATACTTTTGCGTTTTTGCACTGGCATTGGTATACATTTGATAACAGGTTTAAATTAGCTGTCTTTGTTCATTATAACTACTAGCAAAAGGTGCATACACTTGTTGATTAGGAGTGTCAATAGAAAATCATACAATATTATAATAATAGGTGAAGGGAAATAATGTAAATATGTATTTCTTGTTATTGCATTCTAATTTAGTATTTTTTTCTCTTCCGAATATATTTTTTCTACACAAAATGGGAAGTTCGTAGATCTAAGACTACTTAAACGTTGGCGGCAATAGTTAACTTGCCACTGTTTATAATTTTTTTTTTCAAAATCATGTAAAAGCATTCATTCACAAATTGTGAGTTAGCTGTGTCTACGGTTACTTAAACTTTTCTCGGCAAAATATTTAAAGTGACAATATTTATTCTTTTTTCAAAATCAAGTATTTGAATTAGAATTTGTTACTTTTGACACCTAACAATGAATTGTTGTAAACTTTATAATTGCCCGTGTTCTTTAATGTAATGTACCACTCTATACAAATCAGTTCTTCTGGGTTCTCAAAATGAATTGAGTTACTCACACTACAGACCAGCAAAAGTCCTAAAAGGGCAGTTATTGTACTCTTTGCTGAAGGTAAAACTAATAAATTTATACTTAATATTTACCTTAAGCAGCTGAAACTCCACGATTAGCCAGACTCACTTTACTTTATTTTTATCCATCAGGAAATAGTTCTCGGAAGTGACACAAGTGTGTATCACATAAACCTAATTAGTCATTTTGTTTTTAAATTTCCTCAATCATCACAAACATTTGTAGTATCACAGCTTAATATGTCTACTTTCAAATTGTATAAACAACATTGAATTGTATTGTATGTCCGGACTTTTAGCCGAAAAATGAAAACATAAAGATGGCTGAAGGTCGAAATTTATAAGAAGTCGGAAAATTTTCGAAATATATCTCTAAAAATAATGAAATGGACAATCATTACCAAAACCAAATTTGTCACGGAAGCCAATTATGTATGAGGGTCGGATTGGGTTTACACAATAGAGAAAAAAAAAACAAAAAAAATAATGCATAGAGAAAATTGATCCAAAATAAAGCGAGTACTAAGGTGCTAAAATATAAACAAAAATTGTGTAAAACTATAGAACAAGAGAAAAAAAAAGAAAATTCTGAATACAAAAATAAAGCAAAAACAGAATAAGTGAATCGTTCGCTTTCTGTGGATAAAATGTAAACATTTTTACAAAATTGCTATCGGACCGGTTTTGTTAATTCTAGCCATGCCAGTTCAATGCATTCGACGGGAACTGACCAATCATCTGTTGTTTGCGTTCTGAGACATGGTCATTTCTCTGGAAAAACAATTGTATTCAAATTTATTCAAAAACTATTTTTACAGTAACATACCAGAACAAGAATATTTTTTTTAACTCAATGGTGAATCTTTTTTTCCTCCAATTCTCGAAAGAAACAAACTATTTTATTTTATTTTCATGCTGAAACCAAATTTGTTATTTCCAGAATTTTGAATGAAATAGGACCTATAAAAAAGAATGCCCCCTCACCCATCATAGCACGCAAACACACACACAAGATGAATGATCAGTGCCCAGGCATCCATATTTTCCTTTCGAAATCACAACTGATATTGCACGACTTAAAGCAGTAAGACTTACACTGCCCTTGAAGGTTGATTTTGGAAAGACCAATAATTCTTCGAACTTATTAAAAAGTAAAATAACAAAAAAAACGAACTCCAAGGAAAATTCAAAAGGAAAGTCTTTTATCAAATGGCAAATTCAAAAGCGCAAACACACCAAAAGAATGGAAAACAACTGTCATATTCCTGACTTGGAAAACGCATTTCCTTATGTAAAAAATGGAGGATAAAGCCTGGTTTTATGGCTAGCTATACTTCTCACTTATATGACAGTCGCATAGAATTCCATTTTATTGACAACAATGTGTGAACAAAACAAACAGACATAATAGGTAAAAAGGTACAACATAAAACATTTTATTGTTCCTGCCTTTATATGACTACCTAAAGTTATTTTCTAGTTTGTTGTCATGGTGAATTTTTTAAAGTTCAATTAAACACTAAAAAAGTTCTATAAAAATATTTCGTAGAAGTGCAGCCTACAGAATTTTTAAAGTTGAAGCATCTGAATTCGAGAAAAACCCTAAGACGAAACGTAAATTTTAAAGATAAAACGAACTATTTCTTCTTGTGATATATCAAAGACAATAACGCGTGAAGGCGGCAATTGGCCATATTCTTATTGTTTTCTATTTGTTAAACAATATATAAACTCCTCGTTGATACTAGGATTAAAATGTACGCAAGACGCGCGTTTCGTCTACAAAGAGACTCATCAGTGAAACTCGAATAAAAGCAGTTAAAAAGCCCAAATAAAGCACGAAGTTGAAGAGCATTCTTCGTGTTCTTATCCTTATTCGTCTGCTTTTATTTTGCGCAAGTCATCTGTGTTGAAGGTCTCACTGTGATATTGAGATGCGGATTGGTTTCTTGGATTTATATGTTTTACTAACTATGATAAATGTTCACTCTTGATAACATGATCGACTTAGGGAATTCACATTGCTCAACTTCCATGGATGCATGTGTAGTCGTGTATTTATTTGGTATACTACGTGCTACTTATTCGCAACATTTCAATGATAAGGTTATAATTATACTTAACTTAAAGATTGTATATGTCATAGGAAGTCCATAGTTCAATAAACTTCATAACAAGGACGGAAGATTAGTTCTCAGCGTGTCAAGAGGGCTGAATCGATAAAGATAGAGAACAATACTATATATTGTTATTATTACTTTTCGTACATTAGTAAAAGAAAAATATGTAAACATATAAGAAATACAGAATGTTATGAGTTAAAACGGTCAACTTCAAGTTCAAAATTTTGATTTTAATCGAAAAAAAATATAGATACAAACAGCTTTAAATTTTGGCCTTATAAAAAGTAACAATCTGCCTTAAGGAGCAACATCTTCATTTAGTGTTTTTCAAATATAAAATATACACATGACAAGACACATAATATGTCAATACACGCAATACATGCAAAACGGTCAGCAATATCTAAACAGTTAATATTTACAGATCAAAATAAATTGAAACGCAGATGTACATTTAAATAAAAACTATTAAAACAAGCAAAGAAGAACTCACGTCTCGTGTTATTTACCTTTATACGTCAACATCATACTGAACTGTCTGGAAAACTACTAAACAGTATTGATTTCACCACAGTAGATACGTCGTAAATTTACTGAAAGACTGGACATGACTGAATAATTTATTGTTCAAACTTTTCAGATGAAATTAAGATCAAAATGACCGTTTAATACTAAAATTCATATACTAGTAAACAATCTGCATTTATTTGTTTTATGATATTATACGAAAGGGTTTGAAGATCTCACATGTTTCACAAAAATTTTGCTCAGAGTAGAATTTCAATCCATTTAAGTAATACCGTTTCCTGGACCATCAAAGATCAAACATACAAATTTCTTTTGCTTCATTTTTTCGTAAAATCTCATCGAAAAGTTTGTTTGGTAAGTAAAATGTTTGCAAACAGTACAACAATTTTAGACATATGTCCGGTATATATATATATATATAACTGTTGACTGTGAAGCAGAAAATTGTCCATAAAACATACATAAAACAATCTTGATATTCATACCCAGTTTGAAGGTTTCAATATTCATCGGCCATCTAATAATAGATTGTAGTGTTAACACTTACCATTTGATTATTCATTTGCTTTACCGACTTCAACTATAAAAGGCAAATGCCAAAAATAAATTGTCCACACTGGCAGCAGGTCAAATATTTTTAAGGTAATTAATGGCCTTACTGTTATTCACGCGTGACGCATGCATAGCAGGAGACGCTTACCCTGTCGGCGCTCCCGGTCTCGCTCCTTTCAGAGTTCCTTCGATTCTCTCAATTTATATTTGTTACTTTGATTGTCTCTTCTAACCGATATACGAGATTTAAACATCGCTAAACTTCTGTTGCCTTACTAATACCGGTCAGTCTAAAATACCTATATAAATTGAAAGTTTGTATGGTGGTAACAAAATAGATAGTAACTGGCAAAAACAAAAAAGAATAGAGAAAAAGGCAACAACAACCAAAAATAAATGTATAAAAGCATATACTAAAATATTAAAATATTTTTAACATTTCATTATTTTTCCAAATCAACTTTCTGATTTTGAACCAATGAGTGAAAAAAATTAAGGGGAAATTGACCCTATCACTTTACTAACTCATTACAGGCGACATACATTGTACTTCACTGAAGTATCAGACTCATTTCATATACATATAATTCATTTGTTTGGTTGGTTTTTTTTTCCTTCGGGATATTTTTGAATTGAGATTATTTTTTTCACTGTTGAATGGGAAATAATCCAATTTGATCCAAACTATTTCGCTTTTTACTCACGTTAAGTATACTTGATGTCGAAAGTCCGGACGTCTCTCATTAGCACTAGTATTTACAGATAAGAAAGACAGAAAAATGTTAACGGTCTCTGTCAATTGTGCCTAAGGTTTTACAACCCGAGGTTTAGCAGAAATGCAGTGTATGACCAACTTGAAAATTACAGACACGATTTACATTTAAATTATGTAAATGCTGATACTCTGGTAAAAATTTTTTAAAGGCGGAAAACTTGAACTTTCGTTCTCATTCTACAAAACACAACTGAAGTTAAAACAATTTGGAGATTTCTGGAATAGATAAAGGAATGCTGACCATAACTTTTAATAACTGCAAATCTATTGTATCCAACTATCTACCTGAAAGCTGTACAATTTTACAGCACATACATTATAAACCTTGTGATTATAATGGATCTTTCTAATAAAGAGATGTGATAAAACTCTCTCTCGAAAACCAAATTACTATAACACAATAAAATAGTCCTTACACAAAGTCATAGGAAAAAAGACACAATAATAAAAACATAAAAATCTGTAATTTTCAAAATTGTTAACTTCCATTGTTTTTTTATTTGTTTTTCATTATAATTTATTTGAATGTTTGATAGTATAATTGTTCTTATTCACCAACACTATAAGGAATTATATTGGGTAAATAAATGAAAAGATAGTGGAAAAGAACTTTATTTAAAGATTAAAAATGAGAATGGAAACGGGGAATGTGTCAAAGAGACCAAAACCTGGCCAAAGAGCAGAAAACAGTCCAAGGCCACCAATGGGTCTTCAACACAGCTAGAAAATCCCACACCCGGAGGCGGGCTTCAGCTGTTCTTTTCTTCCAATATTTTTACTTTATATTCTGTACAGGCTGTTGATGATTGACAGGAAATGTACTTAGTGAATTCAGAGACATATGTGTGTCTTGTGAATTGAAATCATATAATTAGTCTAACAACTTCTCTGTTGTATTATTATATAAACTTGACATCTACGTGGACTAAATTTGGTTTATAATCAGGGTTAAATTGTTCCATTGCAATAAACAGTGTGACCTTTTTTTCCTGTGACCTATATATGTTTGTGACTTATTTTCCGTTTACCTCTTAACGGCGAATAACAACAAACCCTTTCATCCCTTAAGTTTGATCACAAACCCGAACAAATGACTTGTCTCAGAATATTTTTCGTTATACCTACATGATATATTTTGCTATTGT